TTTTTCTTTCTTTTTTATTAAGAGTATACTTTTTCTCAGATGACAGAGTTAAAAGCTGTGATCGACAGTCAGCAGATTGAGATCAGCCAAATGAAAGACCACACTGACTTGCTAGAAGCTCAGCTGAAAGAAGCACAGGAGAAATTGGATATGTGTAATGTATCAATCCATGAGCAGTCAGCAGATGAGGCCACAGCTACTATGCAGGTGAAACTAGCAAGCTTAAATGTTTGAAATGATAGATTACATTTGTTGTACCAGATGCATATGGTTATTTTCCCATTTGTACTAACTGCAGATTTTGGTAAATTTCAGAGCCAGATAATGACATTAACGTGTGAAAAGCAAGACTTAGAAACACAGGTGTCATCACTAAATGCTCAGGTGAAGACTACAACACATAAACTGTCTCAGGCAGAAAAAGCAGTAGCAAGACTTGAGGCAGAAGTGGAAGAGAAGGAATGTCAATGCACATCATACTACAATGCCCTGGAGGTAAGGTTGTCTTTTATTTTATTTATTATAAGCAAGGTCCTTCACAATAATATATTTGATATATACAGTCTGGGGATTTTTTCTTTCTTTCTTTCTTATAGCTGGAAAAAAATCTGCATGCATTGCAGGATATTGAGGTATGGTAAGTATTCAGTGCTTTGGTGATCCAACTTAATTTAAAGAATATAACAGAATGTGTTATGGAGTGAGAAGGCAGGTAAAAGGAGGGCTGCCAAGAAACTTAGTTTTATACTTCACTTGCTTTGTTATATGTACTTATTGAACATTTGAGATGTTTCCAAAGTTGATGTTCCCTTGAACAGGATGTTTTTCTGGTATCAGAAGACATGACTTGGGAGTGCTGCTACTCAAGAACTTTTGAATTTTACAACATGTCTGTTCTGTGGACTCAAGCATAGCCAACTGTTTATGTTGCAGATTCAGCTAACTGTGCATAACTGGTCTGCTTCAAAGCTCCTCCTAATGGAGGGGAAAACATTGATAAAAGTATGAAGATTAATGAATATCATCTCTAAACATGTTAGTAGCTATATATTTCAGAGATATACCATGAGTTGATTGTAGAGCTTCTTTGACATTTGTTGGAGTTGTGGGTTAGTTTTTATGCTCATATGACTTGCTTTAAACATATCTGTAAGTAATTGACTTTAAGACAGATTGTCCACTTACAACTTTTTGTTTGTTCCTTAAATTGCCATCTGCAAATCTTAGCAGTATTGTTACATATACATTGTTTTCACAAATATGTGTTTACAGATAATAAGGCATTGTTATGATTTTAGTGTGTTATAATGGAATAACACAACAAATTATTATACGGATATACCATTATTCGCATGGTAATGCATAATACAGTATCTGTGATCTTCAAAGATAGAGAAAGGTCTTCATCTCCTTATGTGTAAATCAGAGGCAGTGTTGATAATCTAGCTGAAAATAGATGATATTCATTAATGGTATGATAATTACAAATGGAAGTGTATTGCTTGCATTTATAGCATATGTTTTGCACTCCTTGCTCTTTATTCTGTGAATTTGAAACAAGAAAGTATTTATATTTATCCCATTTAATCACTCATTAGATTATTGATGTACCATGATTAAATTTCAGCATAATAAAGAAGAAATGATGGAACTCAAGATGGAGATAGAAAGTCTGCGTTTAGCTGAGACTGATCCAGCCAAGAAAGGAAATTCTCTCTTTGCTGAAGTTGAAGATCAAAGGCAGGCCATGGAGAAGAAGCTGTTATCTTATAAAACAAATTACAATATTGTCAAAAAACAGTATGACCTCAAGACTGAACAGATTAACAAAATGAAGGTTTGAGAATAACATGATGTTATTATTGCTTTTATTCTTGGTATGAGATGATCAGCATGTATCATTAATGTCCTCTATATTTTTGCTGTCAAGAGTAGCTGTAAATCACTTCACTTTTAGATGTATACAGTAACTTTCTACAGCTTCTGTCCTTATGCTTTATTGTTATTTTTTGTTTATCTATATTTTGTATATATCATCACCTCTAGTATTAATATATATTTTTCTTTCTTTTTTTCTGAAAAACTTTGGCATATTATTGTATCATGTGTGTATATTTCAGTGTGTCCTGGTCTCCCATTTATAATGCAACAGATGTTTATGTTGACCTCTTCTTTCTAGTTACAACTGGCTTCTCTTCTGAGCTTAAATAGCAGTAAAGCAGACACAGAATACTTGAATCATCTGGAAGAATCACTTGCCCTGGCACGCACTCAGCTGGCTGATTCAGGGAAAAGGTGCCGTGATCTTGAGGCCCAGCTGAGTGCAGTGGTCAACCCTCAGGTGAGTGGCATAGGGAGCAGAACTTTGTCCTTTTGGTCATGGAGGTTTGTTTTGCAGATGAAAGTAACATTCAGCTGTTTTCAAACTTTATCAAATAGTTATTTAAAGTTATGTCTGTGTATCGATCCTATATAATTGCATCTAATTAATTGTGATCTG